TTCACATTAAATGTATTGTTTTGCAGTAAAATGGTTTTCTTTTCTGTCTTTATAGTACTCTGAGAAAGAAGACAAGTATGAGGAGGAGATTAAGGTTTTGAATGACAGACTCAAGGAGGTAAGTTCATGTCTGCTCCAGCTGTATTCTCTGAGAGAAACTGTGTCGGGGTGATTAATGTTATTTTTGTCTTTTTAAAGGCGGAAACCCGTGCAGAATTTGCAGAGAGGACAGTGGCTAAGCTGGAAAAGACCATAGATGACTTAGAAGGTACGCTTCATTTTAATTCTTTTCTTCGTTCCTACAGCTTCTTAACTCAACCTTTGTTCAAAACTTTGATTTTCCTAATCTTTGATCTGATTTCTCTCTTTTTCCTCCTGATTTCTCATCATCGTCTGCTCACTTCTGCCTTGTCCTCCACCTGCTGCCTATCTCTCTGCCCTTTGACCTGCAGATGAACTGTACACTCAGAAACTGAAATTCAAGGCTATCAGCGAGGAGCTGGATCATGCCCTCAATGATATGAACACCTTGTAAACCTTAATTAAGCTCATGATGTCATCACTTTCCCCTTTGTCTCCCCTTGCCTGATCTGAAGCACTTTGTCTCTTCCGCTCTCCCTTTGCTCTCCCTGCCCCTTGCTCTTTTTGTCTTAAACTAAAGCTCAATAAAGATATTTTTCTCTTTTCATCTGTTGTCTGTCATTGGAGTTTCGCATGCTTTTCACCTCTGTGCAGCTGTAGTACTGAATAGTTTCTTTGTTTAATGGTTATATTTTGTTAGCATACCAATTGCACTTCTGTGATTAACTCATCCATTCTTTGATAAAGCCATTGTATTTTATATCTGCTGTTACTTTTTATTGCAGAGAGCCTATCGCATGCGAAAGAGGAAAACATAGGAATGCACCAAACCCTGGACCAAACACTGCAGGAGCTCAATAGCTTGTAAAATGCCGAGAAGAACACCGAACAAATTAAAAAAAAAAACATTTGTTTTGTAAAAGATATTTTCTACATGCCATCCATTCTCCTTTTTAATTTCACTCTTGCAACACATGTAACCCTTTTATATATTTATGGTTCTTATGTTTCTTTTCCTTTTTTAAAAATGGTTTTGGGTCCATATGGTAATCAGTTCGGGTGCTGCACATTGTGTCGCCGACCAAACTCTGAGCACAAATAAAACTGATGATGACGCCAGTGATGATGACGTTTGATGAGTTTGTGTCGTGAGTGTGTTTGTGTGTCCCTCAGGCAATTTCAACACAGTCATTAAGTGTAACAGCAGAAGAATCTCAGCTTTCAATTTACATGTGCTAACACGCACCGCTCTGCTAACAGTGAAATTCATCAGACACGAAACTGGAAATGAAGGCTCGGCTTAGCTGCTGGATCTTTGGTCCCACAACTGTAATGTCGCTTTTTCAGTTATGTATGAGTAATAATTCAATCAACAATAATAAAGTAGCATACACCAGATAAGTTTAATGTTAAAGATTATATTGTCCTCAGAAAGTTGTAAGCAGGCCTTCAGCTCAGACTTTATGTGGCCTGTTTGTGTATCAAGGAGTGGTAAGCACTAAATCATAGTAACCATATAAACAAATTGACCAAAACCCACCCACAGAGGAATCCCATGTGATGTGGTTGAAAACTCAAAAAACAACTTATTACATTGACCTTGTGTTGAGCTATTGACAGCATAGCTCATTCTGAAATGCAATACCACAATGTTAAAGGTCCAGTGTGTGCGATTTGGGGCTTCTATTGCCAGAAATGTTATATAATGTTCATAAATATGTTTGCATGAGTTTATAATCACCTGAAAATGAGAATCATTGTGTTTTTGATACTTAAGAATGAGCCATTTATATCTACATAGGGAGCTGGTCCTCTCGCACAGAGTCCACCATGTTATTTCTACAGTAGCCCAGAACAGACAAATCAAACACCTGCTATGATTAGAGCCATTCACATTTTAGCATTCCTGTTGTCAGCCACCGTAATTCTCCTACACTCTTGGCACATTTTTAGTTCAGGAACCTCACGGCTAGATGCTACTCAATCCTACATACTAGACCTTTAAGTCCTGCATTCAAAGCGTTACTGCAGTAAAAGAAGTATTTTCAGGAAAAAATACACAAAATATCAAAAGTAGAATTTCTGCTCTTTAATGTAGGCACTACAAAATCTAACCAAAATCCAAGGTAGTAACTACAATAATTGTAGTTACTATGCTCTGCCTTGGTTGCCAGATTTGGGATCCTATCAGGCCAAGGAAAACCACAGTCAGGGTATTACAGTGAACAAATGGGAGAATGATGAAGATGCCAATGACAAAGTGACTGATAACATGACAATGACCACAGCAAGATCAATGATAAAGATGATGATGTCAGGTAATCTTAAATTAGGTCAGACCTAAAGGTGAATATAACATCAAAACAATACTAGAGGGCTGCTTAAGATTTTCTCTGTTACTAATTTTAAAACAGACATACAGTACAGGCCAAAAGTTTGGACACACCTTCTCATTCAATGTGTTTTCTTTATTTTCATGACTATTTACATTGTAGATTCTCACTGAAGGCATCAAAACTATGAATGAACACATGTGGAGTTATGTACTTAACAAAAAAAGGTGAAATAACTGAAAACATGTTTTATATTCTAGTTTCTTCAAAATAGCCACCCTTTGCTCTGATTACTGCTTTGCACACTCTTGGCATTCTCTCCATGAGCTTCAAGAGGTAGTCACCTGAAATGGTTTTCCAACAGTCTTGAAGGAGTTCCCAGAGGTGTTTAGCACTTGTTGGCCCCTTTGCCTACACTCTGCAATCCAGCTCACCCCAAACCATCTCGATTGGGTTCAGGTCCGGTGACTGTGGAGGCCAGGTCATCTGCCGCAGCACTCCATCACTCTCCTTCTTGGTCAAATAGCCCTTACACAGCCTGGAGGTGTGTTTGGGGTCATTGTCCTGTTGAAAAATAAATGATCGTCCAACTAAACGCAAACCGGATGGGATGGCATGTCGCTGCAGGATGCTGTGGTAGCCATGCTGGTTCAGTGTGCCTTCAATTTTGAATAAATCCCCAACAGTGTCACCAGCAAAACACCCCCACACCATCACACCTCCTCCTCCATGCTTCACAGTCTCACAAAGACACGGCGGTTGGAACCAAAGATCTCAAATTTGGACTCATCAGACCAAAGCACAGATTTCCACTGGTCTAATGTCCATTCCTTGTGTTTCTTGGCCCAAACAAATTTCTTCTGCTTGTTGCCTCTCCTTAGCAGTGGTTTCCTAGCAGCTATTTGACCATGAAGGCCTGATTCGCGCAGTCTCCTCTTAACAGTTGTTCTAGAGATGGGTCTGCTGCTAGAACTCTGTGTGGCATTCATCTGGTCTCTGATCTGAGCTGCTGTTAGCTTGCGATTTCTGAGGCTGGTGACTCGGATGAACTTATCCTCAGAAGCAGAGGTGACTCTTGGTCTTCCTTTCCTGGGTCGGTCCTCATGTGTGCCAGTTTCGTTGTAGCGCTTGATGGTTTTTGCGACTCCACTTGGGGACACATTTAAAGTTTTTGCAATTTTCCGGACTGACTGACCTTCATTTCTTAAAGTAATGATGGCCACTGGTTTTTCTTTAGTTAGCTGATTGGTTCTTGCCATAATATGAATTTTAACAGTTGTCCAATAGGGCTGTCGGCTGTGTATTAACCTGACTTCTGCACAACACAACTGATGGTCCCAACCCCATTGATAAAGCAAGAAATTCCACTAATTAACCCTGATAAGGCACACCTGTGAAGTGGAAACCATTTCAGGTGACTACCTCTTGAAGCTCATGGAGAGAATGCCAAGAGTGTGCAAAGCAGTAATCAGAGCAAAGGGAGGCTATTTTGAAGAAACTAGAATATAAAACATGTTTTCAGTTATTTCACCTTTTTTTGTTAAGTACATAACTCCACATGTGTTCATTCATAGTTTTGATGCCTTCAGTGAGAATCTACAATGTAAATAGTCATGAAAATAAAGAAAACGCATTGAATGAGAAGGTGTGTCCAAACTTTTGGCCTGTACTGTATTTAAATGAAACAAATACAAGTTAAATGTGGTCAGTTTTCCTCATACTGAAAAACAACAGGACAATACAAAGACAGAGTGCAGTAAGGGACTGTGTGTTACTTATGAGAGGGGAGGGGGTGTTGCAAAATGGGGGAGGCACTTCAAATAATTTTTTGAGCATTGGGGTGGAAGTTCTTGATTTGGCTTAGGGAATGGACATTCTTCTTTAAATGGTTGTGTTTTGTATGTATTTTAAACACCCTCAGAACTCAATCCTGCAAGCCAATTTTCAAGGAATGTTTTTTTTAATAAATTTCAAGAATCACACCATTTAAATTCGCCAGAAACTGTGAAATATGGTTATTTATAATGAGAGGGTCATGCATTTTTCCCCATGTAGCCAAGGGAGGCTCAAAGAAAAATATTTGTATCTCGAGAAGGTCATGATGTAAAGAAATGGAGACACACCCCAGTCACACCCTGCTCTGACAAGTAAAGTACAGTCCCTAACTACAGTTTTAGTGTGTTTGGGGGTCAGAGGTCAAATCATTCATCGTGTTTTTTTTTAGATATGAAAAATTACTTTATGAATTCCTATTTAAACAATAGGAGCAGCCCTACTTTTCTACCCATAACACATTTGGCTGGACAGTCTAAAATCTTTGAAGCCATTTTCTCAGCTTCAGTCTTGCCATAGTTAGCCTTTAATTTAGTTTAGTTTAGTTTATTTATTTTATTAGTACAGATGCATGGCATGTAATGGAGTAAAAGGCACCTCTGTAGAATGAGTGTAAAATAGCATATGAAAACCTGAGTAAATGTACTTTGTTACTTCCAACTCTGCAGAGGACAGTTAGTAAAGTAAGTAAACGCCCACTGGTCCGTTACATATAAACTGCAGGTGGATTCCGCGCCAGCAGGGGGCGTTATTTCCGTACATTCACATCGCTGCTTCGCCGGGCGGGATTTCCGCAATAATATCAAGTATGGCGAAGACATACGACTATTTGTTTAAATTACTGTTAATCGGCGACTCCGGTGTCGGGAAGACCTGTGTCCTCTTCAGGTTTTCAGAAGACGCCTTCAACTCAACGTTTATCTCAACCATAGGTACGAGTTTGTTGATGTAAACTGTCTATTTATGTCTGTTTACAATACGGCAATGGGCTGTCCCGCAGGTTCCGTCTACTTGCTGGAATGCTAGCTATGCTACGTATAGGGCTGGAAGTAGTTTCTTTTTGTCATGAATACACAGTCAGTTATTCTTCAAGTGTCATCCACATAGTTAACTCAGTTAGAAGAGATGAAAAGAAGAAACGTTGTTTCCCTTGTGTTCTGCTTGAGGCTGATGTAAGAGTAGAAATGTTGGTGGTGTGTTTTATGATGCCGGGTGGTTCCCCTGCCAGCTCACGGTTGCGGTTAGCTAAGTAGCTCTAGCGTTAGCCATTGGGTGCCGTCTACATTCTGTTAAGACACCGGAAAACCCTATATAGCACGCCGTAGCTAGTTAACATAAGCATGTTAGAAGGGTTGTTGTTCTTTAAGGCATATGTTACTGCTGTGTGGGATGACAAGAAGCCGAGTCGCCGTTTATTCCGAGTCTACAAGTATAATTTTTTCGTATCAGAGCTGTGTCGATCAGTGTTTGACAGGTAAGCTAGCAAGCTAACGTTATGATTGACATGATCCTCCTTTATCCCTCCAGGCATTGATTTCAAGATTAGGACAATAGAGCTTGACGGCAAGAAGATAAAGTTACAGATATGGTAAGTTTATCATGATTAAATTACTCAAAATGCAGGACGTATAACACGCTGGCAGTATCCTGTCAATAATTGGCTAATAAAGTATGGATGGTACACATTTTACTCAAGGCTCCTTACAGATGTAGGGTCCCTACAGGTTACTGACACGTTTAAAGTGTGAATTCTTGCCCTTAGAAATTGTTGCATTGTTGTAAAAGCTTTTGTGCACGTTCATTTTGGTGATTTCAGCAGAATTTATTTCACTCTACCTGTAATGTCTTAAGCAACAACATGACAGGATTTATAGCTTACAAAATTCATCAATATAATTCCAACCTGTAAATTAATCTCAAATATACCAAAGCTTTATACCTCCCTGCTATACAAGTGTGTTGGAAAAAGTCAATTTAAGATAAACCAATCTCCTCAAAGAGCAACTTGCAGGTTGAATTATTTATACCACATCTATTCTTAACCTTTACTGAAAACGAGCATTTGAAAATGTGTAAGTAAAATAATATAGGTAATAAGTTATTCCATCACTGGCATACTTGACTGTGGTGAGATGGTGATTGAAACTTTCCCACATGATTCATCCAAATATTCATCATAAAGATGTTTGATATCTCTTTCGTTTTTCAGGGATACGGCTGGTCAGGAGCGTTTCCGAACAATCACAACAGCCTACTACAGAGGAGCAATGGTGGGTGTCTTCACGTGTAGTCAGGCATAAATCCACTTCCCCAGGAAACCACAGCTCGTGAGCTCTTACTATCTTAACATGTTTGACTTACTGTTTGTTACAGGGCATCATGCTTGTCTACGACATCACCAACGAGAAGTCGTTTGATAATATCAAGAACTGGATAAGGAACATAGAGGAGGTATTTACTGACTCAAGTAGACAATTTACGTGCTTGCTACTTCTTTAAATATCTAAATGGCACTGTGTATATTGTTGTGCCTATTAAATACCTCTTCTCTTGATACAGCATGCATCCTCTGATGTTGAGAAGATGGTCCTTGGCAACAAGTGTGATATCAATGACAAGCGGCAGGTGTCCAAAGACAGGGGGGAGAAGGTGAGATGAAGTTAGAATAATACATTGTTAATAGGTTATGCTTGATAATAAATAATAACATTGGTGTACTTTTATATTGATAAAATTTGAAAAAACATGTCAGCGTGCTTACCTTTCTCCCGTTGTCTTTTAGCTCGCACTAGAGTATGGAATAAAGTTCATGGAGACCAGTGCAAAGGCCAACATCAACGTGGAAAATGTAAGTAGCCGTTCCTCTCTGAGTTATAAACTGCTGAACAGATGATGTGTCATCAATTTGACAACATGGTTATTTGCTCTGGTTGACAGGCATTTTTGACGCTCGCCAGAGACATCAAATCAAAAATGGACACGAAGTTGGTAAGAATTCTTTGATAATACAACTTCGTTTTTCAAAATGTGAGACACTGATATTGGAGGTCGACCGATCGTGGATTTTCAAAGGCAAATTGAATAGTAGTTTGGAACAGGTACAAACTGATCACCCCTACACCCCGCAGAAAAAATTTGACTGCGTCAGAAATGAACAATTTTTGATTTTATTAGAAACTAGATAAATGTTGAACTAAACCTCTAAGTCAAAATAATGAGTAACTAAATATATCTTGAATTGAACATCAAACTAACCATCAAAAAAATCTAAGTGGGGGTGAGTTTTGTATTTTAAGCCGTTCATTTTAACATGCGATTCTCAGGTACACAGTGACATTACCTCGACTTGAGCATTGTAGCTGTTACTTGTATTTCAAAAATGTATTTGTAACAAGAAATATACTCAAAATAGTTTCTCCATGATTCATAAAACATCAAAAACAAGACTTGGTGAAAACTTTTAATTTAAAACAGGAAGTGGCAGCATTCACTCAGTCACAGACTAATGGAGATTAGCTTTAGCACGATAGCGCTGGACCTGCTGTTGTGGTCTAGCCACAAAATTCTTGTATGAAGAACAATACACTGTCACACACTAACACAGCAGATGTGACCTGCTTTCTCTGGAGGTGTACCCACTGATCATTTCACACAACCCATCCCTCTTTAGCTTTAGTCGGTGATGTAAGTCATTGAGTAGCTGGTGGAGGCCGTGCAGCCATCGGCCACTGTCTGAGCCAAGTTCTTTCAATAAAGATAGTTTGTAAAACATCTTATCAGCATAAAGAAAGTTGCAAAACCGTACAAGAGCAGCCACTGAGCCAGCAGTTGTACATGACAGCGGTGACCTGTTTATTTGTCATTTTGCAGGAGGGCAACACGCCGCAAGGGAGCAGTCATGGAGTCAAGATCTCAGAGCCTCAGAAAAAGACCAGCTTCTTCCGCTGTAGCCTACTCTGAGGACTGAGGCCTTCGATACTGGCTGCCAGCTGGCTGGACATAAATGGACTGTGCTTGCTCTTAGCACTTCCTTCCCCTTCCTTCTTTCTACCCATCCATGGCCTGTCCTCCCAGTCCTCACAAACCATTATATTCCCAGTAAGCAGAGGACTTCCCTTCCTCTCTTCTTCTTCTGAAAGCTTCCAGTGGTGCATCTCTTCCATTTTAAGGAAATCTGTTGTCTTCATGGGTCAGAGTGCTTGACTGGTCGAGAACTCAGCCAGGAGCATTGTCCAGATGTCCCTTATCACACAAAAGACAGGCTCTTACTTCTGATGTTAGTCTCTTTGTACTACGCGCTCACATTTCACACAGCCAGTAGCACAACTGAGGATGAGAAATCATTCAATTAATGTCAAGGTTTTGGGATTGCAAATACAAATGTGATATTTAGATCTATTTTTATTAGTGCTCTTTTCCCTTTGTAAGTGATAATTGTCACCCAGAGACTGATAGGCTTGAACTCCAGTGAAACAGAGTTGCACATGCTTTCATTTTCATTCCAGCAGTTGAGAATCATATCACACATACGGCACTCAAGGATCAGAGAGGAACTGGTTTGAAAAGTTTTCTGTTTGAGCTCTGCTCCAAATAGAAACCTTTTGTAGTCCATGACAATCATTTGATTTGACTTAAAATGTGTGTTTCATCATGCCCTGATCATCACACACTGCCCCCAGCTCTTTTTAACATTCCTGCAATAGCTTTCAGGTCCTGCAAAGCAATCTGACAACACAAAACCTAAAAACACAATCTAGATTTCTGCCTCTGTAGATAAAGTTCTGTCACATCAGCAGAACAGTGGTGAGGTGATGTGTGTCTGCTTAGGTTTGCTTGGTGTCGTAGCCAGCAGGACAGTATTGTAAACCGTGCTGTGAAAGTGAATTGCTACCAATGTGTAGGTGCACTTTTTAGGAAAATATAAAGATGTGCACACTGTATAATATAAATAATCCTCCACAGTTAATTACAGTGTAATTAGAATAGGGCTGCATATAACAATTATTTTTATAATCGCTTATTCTCACACTTATTTTCTTGATTTGTGTATTAATTGTTTGGTCTATAAAACATCAGAAAATAGTCTGTTAAAAGTTTCTAAAGCCCAAGGTGACATATTCAAATGTCTAGTTTTGTGCAACATTCGGTTTACTGTCCCATAAAACAAAAAGAAAAGCAGCTAATCTACATTGGAGAAGCTAGAACTAGCAAATGCTTCAAAATTGACATAAACTGATGATCCAAAAAAGTCCTATCTCAGTTTGACTGACCGTTTCAGCTCTAGCGGTTACTTTAAAGTGTCACCTTTAATTTGACTTGAAGGTTCTGTCGCAGCTCTGGTTCACAGTCAAGCTAAATGACGTCTCCGGTGATCTGACCAGCGTTTAAAATCACTTGAAGTTTCGCACTGTAAGCCCCTTCTCCTGCTATCCATGCAGCTCTCCTTGCACTTTACCAGTAATTCGTGTTTTGTGTGTAGTCTGTGCCAAGTGATAGTTTTGCAATACAAAAATTAGTTTAAAGCATTTCAAGCCTCGGTAATATAATGGGCATAATTCCTAAAAAAAAAAAAATTTATACTACACTTACTTATAAATGACTTGATCTCCTTTGCTATTTCACTGCTAACGTGATCCACTGTCCTGGTATTAGATCACTGAAAAACATTGCCCTAACGTACTTCAACAGCTATATATATTTATAAAAAGGAAAAAATAATAAGCAAGTCTCTGTTTCTATGCTACTGCCCTGCCAAAATGTAGTTTAAAAGTGATGTTTTCTTGGCTTATTAGATGAACGCTGGCTTGAACGAAGTTGCAAAGATGGTCCCCTTAGTATTATTGTACACTGTTGTGTGTTTGTGTTGTTTGATTGTGGCCCTTTAGTTTGACAGCTAGGTGGCACCAGAGGCACAGTCTGCAATATAGGTGACCATCTGAACTCCAATTTTAATCAGTATTTTATTCAGCGCGCGAGCCGCATTGAACTAGACTTGTGCAAATCCAAACATGTACCCACTATTTAACATTGATGTTAAGTCTCAATCTGTTTCCTCTGTTCCTCATGTTTTCCCTCTTACATTTGTTACTAGTCTGAAAATCAAACTCCTATATGCACAATATCGAGGGAGGATCTGCTTTTGCTTGCCTGCACCTTTTTTTTTTTTGTCGTTCTTTTTTTTTTTAATATGAAATAATTTGGGACCTCATGACTACCATGGCCATTTGTCTTAACCGCTAATACTCAGTTCTGTCAAAGGTGAGCTATGCATTGTGAATCTTGGACCTGTGCATATTTGTGTGATGTAATTTTCAGACATATTGTAGACCTGTACAGTTGAATGTATGGGCTTTTTGTTTTGTGTCATTCACTGAGCCAAAAACAGGACTCTGTCTGTAGAAATGGCAGTTCTACAACAGTGCAGGTGGAATTGAGCATGTCGGAAGACGAAGCAGGAAGAGTGTGGATGTTGAAAGGAGGAGGTAGTGCTGTTGTCTCATTCGAGTGATACTGTAGCTTTAAGTCATGAACAGAAACATAGGGAGCAGACTGTTGTGGGACTCAAACTGCGTCATTTTCAGCTGAAATGATACTCTGATTATGTTTTTAAATCATATCCTTTAATAACATACTGTACATCCCTTTTTACAGCCATATTTTCATTCCATTGATTATGAAGTACACAGGGAGAATAATACATTTTGAAAAAAAAAAAACAAGGTGGAAAACATTGTAAATATCACATTGAAAAAAAGAGATCTACTTAAATTGTACTGTACTTTCTAAACCCATATGAAAATGTATCTACAATTTGTAGATATGTGTACTTTTGATTTAATAAAATAAGATTATAAAACTCAGTTTATGTCTGTTCAGTGTTTTTATTGGCTGGCTGTCAGAGGAAACTGAACTGTCAGTTGACCCCCATGCTCCCACAAAGGAGCCTGACTGCTTTCATGACAAACGGCTCTCCTTTTTATTGGCTTGCTATCACACACTGGAATATTCTGGCATGTGTTTCTTTTATAGTCTGGTGTAACTGAACTCCTTTCGATACGAAACGCAAATCTACTGTTGATGGTCATAACTAATGAGCCTTGTCTTGATGGATTGGTTGATACCGGCATGTGATGATAGGCCTTCAGTCACACCATGACCGCTGTTATTTCTGCTGGTGCCGTGAGAAAAGAAAAATTGGACACGGACACAGTATATTTATATAAACATCTGATTTTCGTTATGCTCCTATTAAAGACGCCAATCTGTGATTTCTCATAGTATTTACTCTGGATGCTAAATGTGAAAGTCTGATTATCTCTGATTTTTACAAAGTAAAACACAAAAAGCAAAGATCTAGGTATTCAGAAGATGAGAGTTGGTTTTTGGTTGAGATGCCAGGATTCCCCCACTTTCCAGACACTGCAGTGTTGTAAGTCCATCCTTGGGTGCAAATTAAGAAACTCACATGGTCGCTTCATTTCTTTATATCCTGATGTGGAAGGTGCTGTGAACAGAAATTAGAATAGTTTGATTTCCTCATCAGAATTCAATCAAAGGGGCTCTATGCGAAATTCAGAGCGCACAAGTTGTCTGCACACGGTTCTCAACATGGAGGTGACTGAGCTGGTGGCTAGCAACTAACGGTGCTAACTCCATAAACAGTGCTTAACAACGGCAACAGTGCTGACAAAGCTAACGGTGCTGACTGCTGTCCCAATATCAGCGGTATTAGCGCAGTGCAAAGTGGCAGCAATTAGCTAGTTAGTGGGATACAGACATGGGTGTGCAATCAGACCGGTTTACCACGACGAACCACAGAGAAGTTTGAATTACAACACAACACGCACAGAGGAAGCGTGACAAATAAGTGCCAACACATTCTCACTCTGACCTCATCACATGACATTTGGTCATGGTACCCTGGGTGCGTTGGTTGTTGACATTCTGGGACGCCGTGTCAAGTTCTGCCTGTTACATGCATTGTCTTCTTTCAAGATACACTTCCTTTTTCACATACAGTTTCTTTCAAAATAAACTCACTCAGTCGGTACTGCAAATTTACTTTTTTTTCCTTCAACAACAAACACATGGTTGTTTTTAGGAAAAAAGAACAAGGCTTGAATCTTACAGGACGCAAACACCGTCTCTCGGACGAAAGTCTGTGTTTATTGGACCCATCCACCAGCCGGCCCATGCCATTCAGACTTTAGCAACCTTAACTTTCGTCTTTGTCCCACAACGTTTCCCCCTGACGCCGCCATTAAACTATAACGGGGACATATCATACCAACGTTTAAGGACACCTTTTTCGTTGGTTTCTGCCGCCACAAGTCACTGCCCAAGCACCGAATTTCAGCGACTTCAGAGTGAGACCAGGCTCTCAGTGCACATTAGATTAACAATCAGTGACTACAAAATATAAAATAAATGTGTTCTTTTGTCTTGTATGTAGGTGGGTTTCCGCTTCATTAAAGCTTCCAGTTAATGGTTACCATTGTCCTACCTGAGGAAGTCTGGAGCTCGAACAATCATGTGCTGGAAGTCCTCCAGTGACAGACGCCCGTCGTTGTCCAGGTCGGCCTCATCTATCACCTTTTCACACACCATCCTCACCTCGTCTTCCGTCAGCTCATTACGGGTCAGCTTGTTCAGTGTCTTCTCCAGGTCTGACTTGCAGATAAAGTCATCGTTGTTGAAATCTTGTAGAAAATGGAAAAGAAGGAAACATCTTAGGAAGGAGGAAACATATTTTGATAATCAGTTAATCATTCAAGTCATTTTTTCAAGTAAAAATACATCTTATTCACAGCCTCCTGCTTCTCAAATGTGAGTTTGTGCTGGTTTTCTTTACATATTCACTCAACACACCCAGTCCTTCATTAGAAGGGTTATTTCAGGTGTCTACTCATCATAACACAGCTGTGCTTTTACAGTGTGTCACCTTTAATGGTTTTTCCCCTCCATTGTTCTGAATAATGAATGAACAGTTTCCTTGACCCATGACCAGGCGATGTATATGAAACATCTTCATCCATCAGCACTTGTTATTTAGGGGGGACACTGGTGCTGAGCACAAACTGGGCTTTGACCAGCTCTTTGCCTCTATAATGAGCTGGTTAATCATTTATAACATTCCATGCACCATCCGTCATGCTTACAGTTCCAAAGCCCTTCAACATGACTCCTTTTCGTATGCTTGTACCATTTTATATTCAAAGGTTTCCATGTTTCATCAGCGGTCATTTAACTTACTCCATAATTAAAATTGATACAAGAAATGAATGATTTAGTTGCAGAAAGGTGGTTTGACTTTGGTATTGGGATGCTTCTTTACACGTGTCATAACGAAAGTCCTCTATTTTCATGTATTTATTGGGGGGGGGGGGGCAAATGCACACTTTAAATATTTAGGGGGACATGTCCCCTGCATCTACCCTGAAATCAGCACCTATGGTAACAATCGTTCGTTCATTTTCCGTAGCCGCTTATCCTGTTGGGGGTCGCAGGAGGCTGGAGCCTTTCCCAGCTGACATTGGGCGAGAGGCAGGGTACACCCTGGACAGGTCACCAGACTATCTCAGGGCCGACACATAGAGACAGACAACCATTCACACTCACATTCACACCTACGGACAATTTAGAGTCACAAATTTTAACCTTAGACTGTGGGAGGAAGCTGGAGAATCTGGAGAAAACCCACGCTGACATGGGGAGAACATGCAAACTCCCAGAAGGGCTCCCCCACCCTGGGTTCAAACCAGGAATTTTGTTGCCTTCCTCAAATGGTCAGTCTCATTGTTTGACAAAGGGAATAAACAAACCACACAACGGTCACATGACTTGAACATCGCCACCACAACGAGGCTGTAAAGCGTGTTCAGTGTGATTACACTCTGTAGTCTCATATTGCCAGTTATTAGCAACCTTCTTTTTAAAGACACATAAAAGCTTTGAAATTCAAGATTGGGGTATTTACTGATATATTTTATGTCCTAGAACAACATGTGAAAGTGTCTGAAAAAAAAGCTTGTATGAACCACAGATCTTATTTCAGGCTAAAACTAAAATCCCATTTTAAAAAACACACTGACTTTTGAGATGAGGGAACCAGGAGTGCTGTGGTGCCCCAAAAGATAAACAAATAAAGCCTCTCAACAAAGCACAATAAAAAACTCCTTGTTTAACTGTACCATCTCTAATATTTTACCATATATTTTGAAAGCGTAGTAGGCCTTGAGGTCACGCGGCGCCATCTCACTCAGGACTGAAAACATGTCCAAGAAGTCGTCCAGTGTCATGTTTCCCTCTCCGTCTTCAGAGAAAACCTCAGCGATCCTCTGCCGAAAGGGGTTGTCCTGGACAGGGGGGACACCAGTGCATCTGTAACTGTCCAGTTAAACTATTCAGTGCAGTAAATACTATACTATACTATTATACATGCAGCACTATGAAGTGGTGCTTGTTGGATTTAATGGCGTTCATGTGCTCCATGACTGTGTGCTTTTATTTCTTGTTCTTCTGTTTTCGTTTTTTAAATTCATGTAAGCTCTAAAATTTGGAGTAATGAATGACTATGAGGGGAAAGTATAGTCTAGCTCTCCCTTTCTCAGGACATGTCAGTGACCGGCGTGTTAACACATCTGTTTACCTTGCTGTCATTGTGTAAAGAGGCATATAATTGACCCATTTCCAACAAGTGTGTCCTGAGGGACTCACCAGCATCCTTCAAGTTTAAAGGAGTCGGGTAACATATAACATTACAAAGAATTCTGTCGATTAGTTGGCCATTAATTATGGATTGGGAACACAGGGAGAGAGCGGGTCTGCAGGGTGTGCGTGGGCCAGTGGGTCTACCTTCAGCTCTGGCATGCTGCCAATCAGCTCATATGGTAGCTTCACATCTGGGTGGCTGGTGTAGTCAAGGGGAACGAGCTGCGGAGCCAAATCCCGGTAGCGGTCGAACAGTCTGGGGAAGGTTTAAAAAATTTACTTTCAATATTAAATTACAAGATATCTTCCATATTATGCAGTGGTGTACTGTAGAGGTGCACCTGGCTGTGAAGAAAAAAGTAAAAGTGAAAAAGTGAAAACTACTCTTCATCTCCACTCTATTTCTCTCTGTTGTAGTGGAAAAAAGTTTCAGCACAGTAAAAGTCCTGAAGGCATGATTTTAAATACCATGTGCTCTTAATGGTAGGCTGCCCCACGGTAGGACAGGACTGCTGATACTGTAGTTTAGAGTTACAGTGTAGTATTGTGCAGAACACAACAAAATTCATGAGTGTAATGTGTGTCCATTTTGATATCAGTGAAATGATCTGCTCACCTGAGGATTTCTTTTCTTGTAAAATATGTGCAGTCCTGCAAAAACAATCAGATCATGGCAAAAGTGAAGTTAATGTTAAGAGCAGTAGGATGCAGTTCTTATACAGTCTGGTGTTAAATGACTTGTTTTATGCAGTACTCAGATATTTACTCAAGAATGGCAGCACCACACTCTAAAATACTTGAATACTAGGAACAATCATATATCTACATTTTTACTTGAGTAAAAGTCTGTAAGTGTTGCAGGGAAACCCCCAGAAGCTTTTCATAGGTGTGGCCAGATGGGGCCACTGAAAATCTTGGGGTTGCACACCAACACCAAAAGCCATAACAGAATTTTAGGGATTCTTTTTTACTGTTTAAGCACATAGGCTTAACCCTGACAGTGTGAGAGTTAAGGAATTGCATACTGATATACTTTGGTTTCTTATTTTACAGTTAATAATTGTAATTATCTTTTGTGCATAGACTTCTTCAGTTAGACTGGTTGTCCATTTCCTTAAAAACACAAATGCACATTTTTCATTTAAAGGAGTACATTGATTGTAAGGACCAAAATATTTAATAGGAACAAGCCTTCTCGAGTTTAGGAGAGATTTGTGGGTACCTAAAGAACCCACTTTCAGTCAGGACCCCTTTGAAAATGGCCATGCCAGTTGTTTCATTGCCAAAATTTTGCATAAATTTGGAGCATTATTATTTAGGCCTCTTCCTGATAAGCTATGCCGACATGGTAAGTACCAGTGGATGCCTTTGGTTGTCTAGTTTCCCATTATACCACTACCTCTGCGTAAAAAATGAGCATGCCACAGCCTCTTTTAGTTAACAACTTTATATACTTTTTGGGTAGTTTCATCTACATCAATGCATCATATATGCTATGATAAGCATATAATCTTAATCTGAAAAGTACTCATAACTGTAAAATAAATGTAGTGACTGAAATATAGTGGAGTGGAGGTGTAAAGTAGCATCAAATGGAAATAGATTCAATTAAATTAAGCAGAAATACCTCAAAATAATACTTAAGTACATTACTACAGTAAGGTAACTAACTTCCACCACTGTTCTTACATGCAAACAAACAGCATAATTCAGATAACACTTCACCACTTGAATAAAAGTAACTCCAAGCATCCTGTCACTAACTTTGAACTATGAATTGCCTCTGAAGTGCTGAGTGTAAAATGTCCAATCTGAAGAGCAAAGTTGGAGCATGTGACATAAAGTCTGACAAGTGTATTAACCTTGTGTACAGATGCCGGTAGCTCGTATTGATAAGAGAAGCACCGTTTAAAGTGAGTGAGGCTGCTCATCTCGCTCAGAAAGACAAAACAGGATTGACACCAACCTGATAGGCATCTAGCTGCTGTGCTGTAAAGATGGTCTGTTTATTCCCCATGTCTGAGCGAACAAACGCCAAGCCTCACGTCCATCGCTGCTCCAGCATCAAGTGCTTTTTTAGGGTGTGTGGATATGTCAGATATGAAATGCTGGGACAAAAGGAAGCCAGAGCCAAAGAGGGGATCGGGTGTCGGGCTGCCACCGGGCCCTTTGGTCCCCATTATAATGGCAGCATTTCATCGTTTTCTCCATAGTGAATAGCAGCCCCTTTGACAATGAATAAGGGCTGTCGTTCAGCATCATGCCAAGTGGTATCAACCCCCTTTAGTGCCACTCTATGGCCAACGCCTCGGTCACAGCTCAGATTACACTCTTTGGAGACAGGGTTTTGTAGTGGGCAAATAGACTTTTTGATGGGAGACAACTTTTGTTTCAGTGGAGAAACACAATATTGGATAATTATGCAGTTATTGAGCACATTTTTATTTTCAGCTTTAGGTCAAGTATTACATATCTGACCTATAACTCAACTTTAAAATGTTTGTTGTGAGTGGCAAGCATTACTTTAGGCACTGAAATCAAAGAGGTCATCAAGTACTTCTGTGACATAAAATATATATTCTTTTCAGATTTTGCTTCTTTCCCCTGAATATATTCAGCCCAGCATCTTTAGGAATCATGTCCTGATGATTCTGTACCTGTACCTTACAAGGCAGGCAGCCATGGTGGGGAGATCAGGGCGGTGGATGAACGTGTACTGTAGTGAGTCTAACGTTCATGCAGGAGATCAGTCTTAATGATCAGCAGTTCATGTTTGTGCTGTCATAAAACTCAACCACAGTCTTTCCGTACCTTAATCAAGTGTGTTACTTACCTAACCCCAACAAAAACCTTAACCACATTTCCTTTGCCATGACCATTATCTTTTCCCACCCTTAACTATACCACAGTTTTCATGCACATACATTGTAGGAAGCAAGAGTTTGAAATTGGTGGTTTTAAAATCTGAAATGTGCTACAGTATATAGCAAGCTGATTGTCTCATAATGGAAAGGTGTAAAGTTTAGCAAAAACTTAAATTAATCATTATTTGAGTGATTGAAAATGTTTTCATTGATTTTCTGCTGCTTATCAAAGTCTTAATAAATTATATAATTAGGAATAATTGTTAAATTTTAATGTAAAAATAAGTAATTCTGGTCTAAATAATCCCTACTGGTTTACCCTCATACTTTGGTCAGGATTTAATTGTATTCTGTGTGTTTTTAAAAGTCTTAAATCTAACTTGGTGAACACTGTGGAAACCCCTGAAACAATCCAAGATTGAAAGTCAACTCATGTCGACATTAAAGCCAAATAGACATTGTATTATTTTAATGGGCTACAAACAAAGGTTGGGAACCACCACTCTGTTTCATACACTAATCGACTAGACCAATCACATCCCACTGATATGGTGAAAACTTTAAAGGCTTTATGTTTACAATGTATTCAGTCTTTAGTTGATGTGTTTTTGCGAGAGGCTCCTTCAGCAGCCTCTACCTGCCGTGAATCATCTCTGTTAGCTTGCTGATAGCCTGAAGGGTTTATATCCTCTTTGAGGGAAGCGATATGCCCTGAAATGTTGCTGTTTTGCGAAGTGTAGAACCATACAGACACGCCGAACTTAAGTGCCGTTTCCAACTGCCATTTCAAGCAAATAATGTGATTAACATACATTAAAAGGTGTGTCACCCAAGGGTCAGTGTTTCATGCTGGTTAGATCTATGAAAGTGCCAATGATTGTTTAATCATTGATGGCCCAGGGGAAAGGAAGAGTGTGGCACTAATAAAAACAAAGACATGAAGTTTTGACTTACACTAAAACCAGTTCAAGTGGCAAGAGGGAACTATCTGAAGCTCTCCAGCTATTTTAAAGGTTTGATTCAATGATTTCTTTCCTGAAGCTGACAGAAAATGAAAAGGGAATTGTAGTTTTTCCTTCAGCCCCACCAGAATGAAGAATGCTTGAGGACTTTTTGGCTTCATATTAAAAGGGTCAACTTTTAAATTACTTTTAAAACAGATTTCTGTCTTCCTCCTTCTGCGTTATTACTTCATAACCATGTTGTGTTTTTGAATAGTGTGTAGTCTTTTATCTTCTTTTACAAAATATAGAAAGTCTGTTACTTTTCTTCTTTTTTAATATTTTATACTACATTGGAGAGGTGTTATGAAGAGACATATTTTGTAATGCTATATCGACACATTAAATTTCCTCCCTGTCTTTTCTTCTGCAGGCTATATTGAGTGTAGGGGCAGAGTATGAAGGAGACGCCACCCAGCTGTAATGGTCTGTCTAAGCTAAGCACAGCAGTAAACATTACAGATGTCCACAGTACCCAGACATGCCAGGAGACTTGTGCATCCTCAAGTTTGGATTCTTCACAACAGAATAAATGTAATATTAAAGGTTTTCTCAGGAGAAATGCTTTTGTTCTTCTCACTGTGGCTGCTGTTGTCCTAGGTAAGTCTCTTTATGAAATATTTGTTGAGGTTTAACTTCACCCTCTTTGTAAAGTCTTTGAATCTCAATGTTGAATACATAGTTCATACATGGTGTTCATTTTCATGCAATGTTAGTCTACATACCGTGTTGGATGTGTAATTCTGGGATGAAACTCCTCCCATGTGTGTCTATCATGTCTCCTTCCATAGTCACCAGATTACTCTACCTAAGTACTGTATTCTGGGCATGAGGATTGCACTTATTTCTCATAGTATAATGCCAGTTTTTCCAGCAGTGCTCTATGTGTTGATTGCACAACATTTGGTATTTTCTGTCATTTGACAGATGCGCTGACATCATGACCTTTGTCTATGTTTCTCTGAGGGCTTGGCCCGGGCTTTGCTCTGCAATCCAGCATCATGACAGCCAGAGATATAAAATACTTCACCTTTTCTGGAGAGCTGTTGATACGGACGCTACAGATGCTGGTGCTTCCTCTCGTCACCTCCAGTCTGATTACAGGTGAGATCCCCGAATGTTACAGTCAAATGGCCCCACACACGCCATTGTGTGGCTATATGTGTATGTATTGTAGTGTGTCCTGAAGAATCATATCAACCTTCACATCAGCCATGTATCTCAGACAAACCTACCTTGCAAAGAAAATTTTTAATTCACTGATGTTAGTCACCAGGAAATTCTCATCTTAAGAACACAACATGTTTTTGTTTTTTGAGGTAGGGGACACCAGAAATTTTTGAGCAATGGACATTTAATTTCCTGCAATCTGGTTAATTTTTATGCACCAATTTGTGCCTTTTCTGCAGCAATATATATGGTGTAAATATTTTTAATTTTGTCATGTTTTTACTGGGGGGAGGCAAATGCTTATGCCTGAAATACTGAGGGGGGGCATGTCCCCTCTATGAATATTAACATCATCATCCCAGTGTAATCCAAAACAGCCACACAAACGCTAACTACAGCCTAAAACTTGACTGTAAGGTTCACAGGGGTAGGATTTATTGCCAGGCTGTGGTAGTAGACTGCATTACGTTGTACAGGTGTATTGGTAATTCAGCATATGTCTTAGTTTTAGTTTATTATGTTCATATATAGTGTGTTTGCTATGTGAAAATGTTTGAATAAGCACAATGCTTCTTCTTCTATATTGCCCATATAGTATATGTCAAACATTTTTTTTGTGGTTTTAATTTTGCAAATCGACCTAAAGCATGGAGTATCATTTATATGATGCAGTCTCTTTTCATTTCAGGAATGTCATCTGTGGAAAGGAAGGCTTATGGGAAAATGGGGCTCCAAGCTCTCTGCTATTACATAATTGAATGAAATACAGTGAATACCCTCATATCTGTGTTCACTGCCGTAGTCCTAGTCCTGTTCTTGTCCAGCCAGGGAACTCAGCCAGGAGCTCCTCAGCATCCTCTGGTGGTAAAGTGAAAGCTTTGCAGACTATAGATGCCTTTTTGGATTTCAATAGGTGGGCATCAAAATGGATCAATTGACTCAATCATATGTAAACTTTCAGTCTAAGCTAACCTGTACTCTGTTTCTTTGCTTTGCAGGAACATGTTTCAGTCAAATCTGGTGGCCGCTTGTTTCACACAGGTGAGATCTGCAGTGGTCATGGATTTTTGTGTGTGTTTGTCAGAATGGTTCCTGTCACCAATGATGTTTTTTGTCTTTTATTTAGTATAAAACAGTTTATTCTGAAATCAGAAGTCTTGGTGTGGTCAATCTGCAGACTGTTTATATGTGTATAAACAGATATAGTACAATGTCAGACATATTCTGAAAGAGATTACACTTCCTTAACTTGTGTGTGGTTGTGGACAAGTCACACTCATATGTTTCTGACCTCAGAACTTCCTGTTTGTTGATAGAGATCGTTTGAGGGTGACCACCAACGTGCTGCATGACTGTATTGGTGTAGGTGTTGTGCAGCATCTCTGCAGACATGAGCTGCAGAGCTCCAGTCAGACAGAACAATGCTTAGTGGAAAAAAACAAAGTAAAACCTTCTAACTGAGAAACTGCACTTTTATTCAAAACACATTATGGCACCAAAGCAGACATATCATATTTTTCTCTTAGTATACAAGGACAAATAACTGTCTGAAGATACTAAATTCCCACATTGGATTAGGTAGATTATAGATCAGTGGTTCCCAACTGGTGGGTCATGGACCAAAAGTCTCTGTATGGACTGCAAGTGACTTATGAATGTGTCAAATTTGTAAAAAAACACACTTTATTTTGAAGTGCAGTGAATTTCCAGCACAGAGCAACCAGATTATTGCAACCAGATGATTTGATTGCATGAAAACTTTATAAAGCTTTGAAATACAATAGTTACTGTAGCCTACTGTAAATGATTTTGCTGCCTTCGTCATCAGAGTTAGAAGACATTAATTTCAGCAATATTTTAAGCTTTACAGCTGTTTTTAACAAAATAAAAGCAATGTTAGAATTAACAATAATCCTGAAAACTCAGTATGACCTGACCCAATGTAAAGGAATTGTTATGATAATGTCTTCCTCTTCTTAATCATCGTCTTTTACCTGTAAATTTTGACCAGAATCTCAGGCTTTTTTCACAATGGCTTTAATCAAAAACGACTGAAAACCCTTTAAAATCTGCATCATGTTGTGAGAAACTGACATATTTAAAAAAAGCAAGACCTTTTGGATTAAACCTAGCTGTTTAGTGGAGCCTTTGAAGGAAAATACACACCCTGTGTATCCCCATGCCACTATGATATTATCTTTCCTCCTGAAATACCAAACCTGGTGATAAGATAAATGCAAGATGGATCCATGCTGTGACTGAGGATTAATTTACTTTGAAATCATCTGATGACAATTTTTGTGGTTCAAATTTTGTTAACTAGAAAACTAATCACTGAAGGAGACTGCAAACATTCTTGTGTAAATACAGCAGGGATTGGGAAGATTGTTGTAGCAAGAATTGTGAAGGTGTCCTTTACTTTGACCAAATGTTGACCACTGTGAAAGCTAAAGAATTTGATTTTCTGTCATGTCAGTCAGTCAGTAACACTTTAGTTTAGACCTTAAAATAATGTCACATTTTTGAGTGTATGCCAATAACTTCATTCTACAGTCTTTTGTTTACAGCATTTATTCTGACTGTAACAATTCACAACAGAAAATATACACATTCACATCTTTCACACGATATCACTTCCATCACTGCCATATATTATAATTTATGGATATTTACATATATACAATGCCACCTATGTGACAAACTGCATATAAAATCATTACTTACATTTGAGTTTTAAAGGGCAGCTGGCTATCTATGTAACAAAACTATTTACATTGTATTTTTTAAGTATGTTTATGTATCCCGACACCAATGACTAGCTGATGTCAGTGGCAGCCACAGCTTCCAGCCACCATGTCATTATACTGTTTCAGCACCACATTCTCATCATCATCAAAGTAGAGCAAGTTGATGGAGAAGAGCTTGTCCGGCACGCAGCACGGCGTTTCAATGCCTTTGATCAGCTTCAGGGCGTTGATGATGGACTGAACGGTGGCGTGGTTGGTCGGCTTCATGTTCTGACCCAGAGGGAAGGGGCAGGAGCCTTTGCAGTGGTAAGCGTTGTAGCCTCGGGGAGACACAATCCAGCCCGACCAGCCGATCTCCTCGAAGTCGACGTAGAGGGGCAAGCGCTGGCAGGGCGAAGACGCACCTTCCTCCTCACTGTAGTCCACGGAGCGAGCGCTGCGGGAGGATGGACCTGACATGGGGGCCAGGGGCAGGCTGGAAGAGGCTGTGGAATCATTTGGGTCTGGTGAAAGGAAGGAGAATATTTTGTTAGAAAATACAGCATTTTATACAGTATCTTTTTCTGAATTGGGGTCCAGCAGGTCCTTTGAAGTTGATTTTTGAAAACTTTTTATCTTATTTCTTTCCACATTACACTCACTCTAAAAAAATGTGTGATTGTCCAGTTGATGAAGGTATGGTTTTTAGTAGCCAACTAGCATTGAACATCAGACTTTCCTTTAGAATGTGTCTAATAACTGATGGTACAATAATGTGTTTGTAGAGTATAAAATGGACAGAGATTTGTCACAGAAATTTAAGTCATAAGATGAGAATGGGGGGTCCACAGCCTCCCCAAGGCCCCATAAATTGTACCTACACCCCTGCTCATGTGGAGTTAGACCAAATAAATACCTGACCTCTGTATGTTTTACTATCACTGGACATAACTTAACCAATCAAATGACATTACTCTAAATCTCACCTGTGCTTTCAAGAGTAGTAGAGCGGCGGCCATCGTCAGTAAACAGGACCAGCATGGGCTGTTTGCTCTGGTGGTGGTTGCGTCCTGAAGCAAAGCGGATCAGCTTCAGATCCATCTGGCTTCCTCCCAGGGTCCGAACCACAACATGGAGCCCGAGGTTACTGCCTTCATCTATCATCCAGGAGCGGACCTTCACGAGGAAGTTCACATTGTTCAATTAGAACACAGAGCTCAAGCAGTAATGCTCAAGAATACACCCACAGAAGTTAATGCAGGCCTCACAGAGAAGTGGGTACTTACTGCTTGTGTGATGGTGAACACTTCCCAACCAGTAGAGTGGACTGGGATGAGTCGAGAGGACAGCAGCTTCTTTCCCTGTGTATTGTTTTTGCTGGTGTGGAGCAGCTGATAGACACTAACCTGAATCAAACAGAAGAGATGTGGGGTTGTGGTTATGCCCAATGGAGAGATGCATTTGGGTGGATTCACTGTATTTCATTCAACTGTTCTGTTACTATAGTTTTATATGGTGGTACATACCTGGCAGAAATGGTGCCTGTTGAATGTCAGTGTTGCCTGAGGTCGCAGCTTGAAAAGATGGAGCTCTGCAGTGAGAATCTTCTCAGTTCTGGCAACTGTGGACAGATTGAACCTGAACTCCACCTGCTCACTGCGCACTGCAATGGAAAAGTACATCATCAGAAACCAGAACAAACGGGACCACACTTCATTGACTACAGTAGTCAGCAGCAAATGAATGCGTGCACAAATCAAATCTTACATTTGTCAAAGAAGCTGCGCACAGTATTCCCCTCCAGAAGATACGGGTCTTTGGTCACACCGTCCACATCAGCAACCGTGTTGTACAGATCGAGCATGTACTGAGGTGGCTGCTTGCGTCCATGGATAGCAGGGGGGTCCTCCATCCCAAAAACTTCCAAAAGTCTCTTGATAGCAGCTGAGCGTACTTCCTCTGACTCATTCTCAGCCATGAAATGATTCTCCAGGTAGCTGAGTGAAGGCCGTGCAGCGGCGGTGCACACCAAAGCGGTGAAGCTGATCACAAACAGCAGCATCTCTGAAGCTTGAGTTGATTCCTTGTGCGTCCTTGTCCTCGAACCATACAACCTGCCAGCAGCTTGGAGCTGGAGTGACTGCAGGGTCCTGGAAGCTCGACTTTTTATATCAAATGCGGCCCTTCACTCTTTAGTGCCCCCAAAGCCTTGGTAAACAGCAGTAAAGATGCTATTTGGTCGCAAATGTAAATCACCAATCAGCGAATATAAAGGGAGACTAATGGCGGCGTTAACAAGGTGTGAACCCGACTGTAGATTTTAGTCAAGCCCATTGTCCCAACGTCTGGCAATAAAGGCTCAAATAAACTAATTTCAGCCTTTGAAAAAACTTGGTGCTTACTGACCAGTGACTTTGCTGTTCTAGGATATATTTTCTCTGATGTATCATGTTATAGTGGATGGGTGTAAAGAATATGAACAGGATATACTTGGAGCTGATCTCTTGAGGAAGTGCACTCACCATGTGAGGTAAACTGCGCCTAAATGAATCCATTACTTTAGAATAATGGGCACAGTGTCTTAGGTGGAAACCAATTACTTCGATAAAGAGACGGGTGTCGCTGGCTACACGTCGCGAGATTTACATAACCGCTTATCCAGTTACAGCTGGATAATCAGCAAATTTGCAGTTTGATTTTGCAACAGAGGTCCAACTGGACTGACCTGCGATGGTTCAAGCTGATCTGGTGCTAAAAACAATACCGTGACTTCCAGCCAGTTCCTTAATTCTTCCTCATAAAGAGTTTTTTTTTCTATAAAATACACAGCAGTTCAATATAAGTCTATCTGAACATTGCTTTCAGTGTGAATTTCCTGGAGATTTGGGTACAGCACAGTATACTGATACTGGCATGTGCGCTGGGAATTTTGAGTTTCGCTACAGGCCACCACAGATACAAAAATATATATAAATTAGATAATTGTTGTTAACCCTGGACTCATAAACATTCTCTTCTTTAGACTTTATTTTATTCCCCAAAGCCAGCTCAACCCTTTCCCTTACAAATGGCTCACTGTGCCATTTGGTCACTTTGATCTTTACGCACGATTACGCACGGGCAAAAAACAGACTGACACTGAAAAAAGTTTGTTTCCCCCACTGTAATAAACCTTTAGGACATCAAAGTTTTTTTCCTACATGACACCTTGTAGGCAAGTCATAAAACCCCTTCTTTTAGGATGAGAGAAAAACAACAACAGAAGAGTTGTTTCACACGTTCATATCAAAATAAGGAGTTATTACCGACCTGCACGTGTGTTTTTTTAAGGGACATTTACAACAATGGTTGGCTTTTCATGTGCTTCTTTCTAGTGCTTCTTCAAAGCCTCGTTTTAGCTCTTTGAAACTTTAGACCTTGATACTGATTTATACTTTATCGATTCATAGATTGTGGGTCTGAAAGACAATCTGTGAGGCCTAACAATACTTACTCCTGTTTCTGCTACAAAATTTGATTTATTCACTCAAAAGTTAGGTTTATGTACTTATTATGCTAATTACAATTTATATAAGAATTTAAAATAGGGCTACACACTATATCTGCTCTTTGGTAGAATGTCTTATACGCCATTTAAGGTGTATTTTCTTGGTAATATACCTTTCCAAGATGTGTTATGTTTTAGTAGCAGTTTGGTAAAATTTTGTTATAAAGCCTTCTGCCCCTGCAACCTGGCCCCACATAAGAGAAAGAAAAAGGATGAGTGTTGTACAGTGGTCCAAGGACAAATCCTTACAGGTTTTCGTATTAAATTTATTTACAAAATTATCATTTTTACATATATTACATATAATACAATAAATCTTTGGGCCAGTAAGGTCTTAAACAAATGTTATAGTATCTGATGGGGTCATCATTGGACTGTGAATAAAAACACTTCAACTCCTGAGAAGAGATTGGCGGTTGTTTTCCTGTAGGGGGCGCAGTGTTCAGTTTTGGCAAAGGCAGGAAGTGATGGAGAGGACGGTGCGTATCTGTCCATGCTGGTTGAGGAAGCTGTGGCTCTCGTAGCCCTGAGGAACACAGGAGCTGGACTGTCTTTCCGCCCATAAGTGGCAGATTGCTGGATCAGCTGGACTCCTGCAAAAGACAATAAATAAAAAAAAAAACATTAAAATTTTTATTTTCTCATAGCTATTTGGGATCAGTAGGACCCCATAGGTGTAAACAAACTTATCACTGTCAACAATAATAAAGTCACAATATCCTCAAATGAGACAATAAAGTCCAAATGTCCTTTAACAAGCTGATGATAAATTCACAGCATCTTAGCTTGTTACTGTTGCTATAAGTGGTCAAAATTGTTATAACATCAAACTACAAGTTGATGTAGTTTCACAAGTTTCAACCATAAAATGTGATCAGGTTTTATACCTGTATACCTGGCAGAGAAGGCTGCCATCTTGCTTTTACATGGATTAGTTTAATGTGGTTTTACTACTCCTAAATGGGACAAAAAAAAGGACGAGGACAAGAGGCCTAAGTTGAGTAGAATGAAGTATAAGGTCCAGTAAACCCAAAATGTGATGTCCTCATATCAGGACACAGGGTCTCAGGAGGATATGTCGTCTGAGTAAGGTTGCAAAGGTATGAGATTTTCACTAGGATAACTGTCTCAGAAAATATTGCAGCTTCATCATCTAACAGTATTAGAGTTTTAGAATTATTATCAGTCAAGATGACTCTTAAAGGAATGAAAACAGAGGGGTTATTTTTGGTTGAAGAAACATTTTATAATATTATTGAAACCTGAAGGAAGATAACTAAAAAATAAAATAAAGGTGAGATCCTCCATCCAGTTGCTTTTTTTTTCAGTATTGTAGATAAGCAAACAGCACATGGTATAACTGTCAGTTTCCATTTCACGGTATACCTTGAAACCTGTGTACCACTGCAACCCTATGTCTGAAGCATATATCTTTCTCAGAGAAAATATCAATGAAATACCTGAATTATCTGTTGATATATCCAGTGACACCGTAACAGTCAGCTTTGTTATGTGAGCTTCTTTTATGCTCATGTTAAGCTTGTCTGTCCACAGACATTTTGGAACTTTTTTCTGACACACAAAACTTGATTTTAAATTTGAGTTGAAAGCCCAGAAGTTTCCAAACATACTGAATATGTCAGGTTGAATTTGGGTAAATTTTTTATAAAATAAGGTATAATACATCTAGAATATATGAATTTGTTAAAATGGTGTGGCTATAAAAACAAAAACAACAACAACAAAAAACACATATAGAATCTTGGAGTTTTTTAGTCAGTGTGAACACCATAAAACTTCAATAAAGAGCTGAAGGTTGATACAAGATGATAATGTCAGAGTGTGGAAAAACATGACTTTAACAACCTTAAAGCTACTTAAGGGGAAATTAAAGGGGGAAACTTCATGTAAGGGACTGATCAAATTTAAATGTATTTGTTACTCCTCATGCCTTAAAATCAATTTGATGATGGAACAATGAGGTAAATTAGTAATATGAACCTTTTATTCTCTTTTTATATTCCAGATAAATTAATATTACATTATTATAGGTCTGCAATCTTAAAATAAAGCAGAAGATAAAAGTGGGACAGGTGGTGAAGGAATTAAACATGAACAACATGCTGAGTGCAGAACGTGTCAGAGCTCACAGGCAATTGTTATGAGAGAGGCAGAGGAGGTGTGTGTGAGGGGGTGTGTGTAGCAGCTGTGTTCATGCTTACCTGAGAAGGCAGCGGTTTCCTGTTGTGCAGCCTCCCAAACATCTGCCCACGTCTATTTCCTGTGGAAAATTAGCAACACAGAGAGAGGGCAATCAGCTCACAGCTGGACACAAATATTGACCCAGTTGAGTCGGGGTTCAGCTGCTCTTTAGCATGTTAAGTGCTTTAATTCGACACCTGCAGCGGCCATTTGTGTTTGCACTGTGCTCGCACCTTTGGTGCTGAGGCCCAGTAGATGACCAACTGTGTCCAGGAATACAATTTAAATCTTATGTTAAAGTTCATCAAGTAAAGTTTGACGTTAAAATCACAAATAGTTATATTGATCTTTGTGCTATTGAGAGCATCATGGATGAACTTTATAATAACCGCTTCAAAGTGGGGCTTTTGTGAAAGGTAGAAGTTTAACAGAGATTAATGAGTCTAAATCCTCATTTTCTCCATGACCAACAAAGCAGTTTAAATCAGGTTTTAACAGTATTTTCCCTGAATGGAGCTGGGCAGGGACTTCTCTCAAATCTGCCAGTCTATCATGTGTATTGTTGCAGGTTGTGCATGAATAAGCAATGCAACACATCCTGCAGTCCAGCCTTTGGCCAGTGGATTAGCTTGATTAAGTGCTGTCTTCCACACATGTGTCTGATGCATAAAGATACTTCATTACTGTCTGGCACCATCGAGAGCCTCATTTCCTTTCAACTGGACTACAAAAGAGAGTGTGAAAGCAGCATCACAAATGAATCACCCCTCTAGTGTTAAGTACGCCATGCTAATCACAGGAGAAATGAATCTTATTTTGAAAGGCTGGATTCAAATATAAAGCTGGATTCACACGCATTTTTTGTTTCTCATAAACAAGACTAATGACTTCTGAGAACTACAAATTCAACGTTTTCATCATACTTCAGAGTTTGCACTTACTTTGAGCCTCTCCTCTTTGATTCCATCTGCATGTTGGACTATTTCATAGTAATACTCCACGTATGGGACTCTGTAGCAGCTTTCCTTCAGCTCACAGGCTGCCACTGTCTGGATGACGTCCACTTTGTTGGGGGTTTCTACCAATGCGGAGTCAAACTTGGTGGGGACACAAGAAAATCCCTCTGTGAAAGATTAAAAAAAGAAAAATTAGGGTACAGCCAGGAGGAGCAGCTCTGTTGTAATCTGTGATCCAAATGTGAACAGACCAACAAACTTTGTGATCACTCCAAACTGACTGGCAGGCCTTTTGCTACACTAGGCAACAATTTTAGTTGTATTTTGTTCTGATGCTGTTAAATTATAGTGTTTATCAGGAATGTCTGGATATTTACAATTTGATTGCAATCAAACACACTATATTATGTATGTACATTTAGTTAAAATCTTGATATAAATCCAATTGGTGCATTGCCAACAGTGCAGGGGCAGCTTTGACTATGGGCCTCCAGTAAATATCAATATAACTTAACTATATATGCTGTTAAAATATTTAACTTAGGTCACAAACATGCTGTAGTTTAATGTGTATCAATAAATCAACATAGTGACACTGTGCTCTTTGTATCAGGGTAGTTTTAAAGGTGATAAGCACTTAAACTGCTATATTATTTGGGTGTAAAATACAAATTATGTGAAGGCTGTGAAAAAAAGTTCTCTCTCTGTGGTATCTGAAACAGACAGGCACACACACACACACACACACACACATACACACCTGGTGAGCCCTTGGACTTGGAGCATCCTCCCACGTCGATCATTGTCTCATAGGGAGTCTCGGAGTAATAAGTCCTCAGTGCCGGGACGCGGATGCACTGGGTCAGCTTGATCTCACAGTGGCACTCCTCGATGACCTCCACCTCCCGGGGTCCCTCCAGCAGCAGCAGCCGGTCCACACGCATCCCGGTCGGCTCACACACCTGGTTCATCCCGCAGGAGGGCAGCTGGTTCAGCGGTCCCGGGCTCTCTGGAGCTGCAGGGCCGGGCGCTCTCAGCTTATGTAAGACGAGAGGTTATTGTTTGGTTTAGACATGTCTAAACATGTTTCTGTGTGCTTTCATGTAAACAATGCAAATTATTCTCGAGATATTTGTGTTTTTAGACTTGTAGTTTATGATGAGTAGTTGAATTGCATGATGTGTGCAAAGTTGCTCATCAGAACTAATCTTATACAAATATTAATAATGATTTGAATGCTTAAATAAATGCTTTATGGCGTTTCAGTACCACGTAAAGGCCCACCAGAGTTCAGGACAACTTTGTCAGACAATTACAAATTTACAGCGCCCTCTAGTGGCCTACTGGGGGAACTTGCTACACAAAAAAAGACACGTCAGGCAGATACATAGGCCTAGATGAAGAAAGGTTGTGTTAGGGGGGTGCATGTTTATTTTGTAACACTGGCTGGTACTTGGATTGTAAATAAACTGGGCTTATTGGATATTTATTTAATTGGGTGGTACATAGACTGGGCATAGTTGATAGTTGTGAATAAATTTGGGAATTTGTTATAAAAAAGAAATGTAAGAAAGGGGTAGGGACATACACATTTTACTTCTACCTACTCCTTGTTGGACACTGTTATCTTTTTTTTATTGGTTCGAAATATAGCCATTCATTCATTCATTCATTCATTCGAACTTCACTTACTTTCTTGCTCCTGAGAAATTCCAGCATTGAGGAATGTTTGGAGTAATCCTGCGGTCCTGCCTCATGTGACGGCCTGGATGTTCCCCCACAGTGAGACCTGCACATTCCCACATCAACACTGACAGGACTCCCAGAGATGTCTTTGGAGAGAGAGGGACACACACATAATCGATCTGATGTCAGACAGAATTTTTGTTATAAAAATGATTATATTATTATCAAAAATACAGTTTTTGTTTATCTCAGTTGCTTGAAAATTTCTCGGTCTGTTTGAGATCATACTCTTGTTTCTGTTAGAGGACTACAGACATGCATTTACTGTTGGACGAACACATGGTGGTACTTTACCTTGTCCAATATAGACAAAGTGGCTCTGTCTTTTGCAGCACAGTCTCTGCCTGACCAGGTTTCTGTGATCTATGTGTTTGCTCAACACTCCGGTCACTAGAAAACATAACACAAACATCAGAGAGTTAACATTGTTAACAGTTTTACTTGATGTAGAGTAAGTGTACGCTTTCTTTACGAGTGCTTTAAAACATCATATTTTTCCAAAATGAGCATATTCAGATCCTTGAGATCACAGTAGTTTACACACAAGTTGAAACATGGGGTGCAATGGTGGAGAAATCCAATTTCTTCAAGGTCATTTGGTAATGAAAAGCTGTAATTAGCAGTTATTTAGATGGATATCTGAACAAAAATCACTCTTAATCATTTGTTTTTCATGTATTTTGCATGATTATGTTCTTCTGGAAACGTTCATTTTGGATATGCATGAAAAGAAGAAAAACTTTTTAGCTATTTCAGCTATTTAGTTCAATGGAAGGTGAATGACCCCACGTTGCTGTGCAGCATCAAACCCTCCTCTACACTCATGTTTACCAGTTGTAGCAGAAGGGATAAGCAAGTACATTTGAGCAGATTGCTGTCAGACCAGTTAGCGAACAGCTATTGCTGCTTCTATACACGTCACAGTGCAACTAACTGCACTGAATATTTTCACAATGAATTAATTGATTGTCTATAAAATGTCAAAAATTGAAAAAACGCTCATCACAAATTCCCAGAACCCAGAGGAACATCTTCAGATAACTCCCTTTGTCCAACCAACAGCCCAAATCCCAAAGACTTTTCCTTTTCTATCATAAATGACAAAGAAAATCTCACACACATGAAACTACAACCAGCAGATGCTTGAAATATGACAGCACGGTTGGAGATTAATTTTCTTTCCATCAACTGATCTGTTAATCGACTAATCATTGCAGCTCTACTCAGAATAGAATAAAGCAAGCAGTACTTACAGGTCAGGTGGAGGGCACACAGGAGGAGAAGAAATAGCCGGGGTACATCCATGGCTTTAGTCTGATTCTGCTCCTCAGCTGCCAGATACTGAGTGTCCCTCTGCTCACTGACGCCTCTGATATTTATATGGGATCAAGCTTCAGCCCCAGATGTCACCTGAAAACAAGCTCTCAAAGTGGTGTGGGGTCAAAAAAAGTGAGAGCTAATCAAATTTCCATGCTGAGTTCTTCCAAGTAGGGGCCACTTCAAAGGAAATCTCTGCAGCTTCAATGTTTCTGCTGTGAAGGACCCAGTGGCTCGAGTGTGTCGATCAGCCTGAGCTCACCCTAATGAAGTGCTTAAGTAGCCTCGGGCCATTAAAGCGTCGCTCATTCAAAAGCATTAATCATCTTTTATCTCAGGGGGAAGGTGTTTAGCACCTCTAACTTAAAACAAAACCTGGCCCAAACACATAAACAGGATCAGCGTGGGGGCCGCAGCCTCCCCTTCAGAAAACTCCAGCACCTTTGTGTTTATTCAACGTGACACCAAATGGCCAGACTTCTCAAGAACTGCCCTTCAAATCTCAGCTTCTTTTTCTCCTCAGAGGAAAACCAAAATTAAGAATTAGAATAGCTTACTTTGTAGGTGACACATTGTCAGACATGTCGGTACATTTATATGGAACATTTATGAGTTTCTTTTACTGAACTAAGGACAAAGTATACCGTCAACAAAACCCAGAGAACACCTCAAACAAATACATCTAAAAGGCTCAACCTAAGTACTCTGTTTTGTTCCTTTCATACACCACATAATGTTTTATAAAGTCTTATTTAATTGCATAAAAAGATCTTTAGCTATGTTACAATATTGGCATTTTTTACCGATTCTCCACTCATGTCTTAATAAGGTGTTAGTTCTTCTTTGAAGTGTTGATATGATCCCCTCATTTTCCCCGGGATCAACGGATCATCGTTCAGAGAGTCGTCGGCACTCAGACACCTTGATTAAGGTGACACCCACAACAGTTTCAATTGTTGATTCCTTTCATGGAGTTTCAGCAAATCCTATTGAAGTTAATCATAATCCCGGTAAAACCCAGATAAAGTCGTAGTAATTACTTGATTTAATTATGTAGATCATATGATATGTTCCATTAAACTAAAGGGGCACTTGAAGGTCAGGGAGGTCCACAAAACTGTACAGCTATTGATATTATTAATGTCTGTATTGTGATTTGATACATTCTGTAAAATGGGAAGTATACTCAGAGTCACCAGGGGTCAGATGTTAACAAGTTTGAGACTCAAGTCCAAAATTAAATTTATGAGTTTGATAATAAGACTCACAGCTCACATAAAATTAAATTCTGTGTTGTTTCAAAAAACCTTGGATTGTGTCACATGGTATTCCTCAGAAGATTAAGTTTGCCCAGATGTCATGTTTTATGTTTAAATTAATATTTTATGGAGTTCTTCTCTATGTCAGTTTTAAAAATTGGAAATTGGAAATGTAAACACATACAATTCCATACAATTGACAAAAAAGTCAAAAGCCAACATCTTAGAAAACTTTCATTTTTATTAGTGGACATTAAATGGACAATTAGAGATGAAAATCTTTTATCTTTAAATATACTACAGTATATTGTGCATAACTTCGCATATCTTTCTGTCCAGCTGGCTTTGGAGCACGACCTAAATACATCTCTGACTGCTTCCCAGTGGAACATAATTTGGAGGTCGGCTTTGAGATCTTCTAAATGTGTGAGATTTTGGATTATACAATATAAGATGCATAGCATACATTAGTCCTGTTAGTTTGTCCAAGATGGATGACAAACATCAAGATTTATACTGGCATAACTATGGCAATCAAGGTTCTTTATTACACTTGCTCTGGGACTGTCCAGCTATTAAAACACTCTCGTTAGAAGTGATATCTCTTATGTCAGAGTTTCTCAATGTCAACTTCCTAGTGTGCCCCAAAGTATGCTTGCTGGGCCTGAAGTTGGACAATAATGTTGCAGTAACTATCGAACGCCTGTGGACACTGGGTTGCTCATCTACTAAGAGGCTAATTCTTCTTAACTAGAAGGTGTGTAAGGCAGCCTGCTTCACAAGGGACACTTTGCTGAATGAATACCTGGACTTATCAAACATAGAATGGGCAGCCTGCCTGTGAAAAGACTTTGATATGGGGCTGAAAGACCACTATGCTTCTATAACATATATATACATATGCATGCATGTATGTATATACAGTATATACTATAGTATATTGTAAATGTGGGTTTAAAAATTCACCAGAACGGAGGAAATTAAGTCTTTAATGCTCCAAATTTTTTTGGTGGAGTACCCCTAATTCTCCAGTTTCATATGTCCCCACCCAAATGTTGAAACGAAACCCACGCCCTTCCGGTAAACCTTTCCTCAATGCGTACCCTTCATTTATCCAACATTACACGTGCTGAGATGATCACTGGGGTGGTGATGGGATTATACTGAGACATACAGCTTATGCATGATGACTCTTAGACAAGCAGTGTGTACAATCTGGACAGCAGAGGTGGACGGGGGTACGGGTTACAGACAGTGTGCCTGTGCAGACAGTCTGGCTTGGTGTCATGGTCGGCGATGTGGGTCACTGTCAACCGGTCAGAAGGCCACAGTCTCAGACTCTGTGTCCATATCCGTTTTGGTAGAGGTTGTGAGGTGTAAGTCACATATTTTTGTCTTGATTTGGGGAACTATTAAATACATTTGAATAATCATTTGTTAACAGTGCAGCTTTCAACAAAGCACCTCTGACAAAGTTGAAGATTAATACAGTTTAAATTATCATGTAAAAAAAAGTTCCAAACAGAAGGAACTGAGCCACGTTAGTGAAAGTAATAGTCTGTCCTCAGCACCTTGACCCCTAACAGTAATGATGGTCATATGCATAACATCGCAGAGATAATCCCATCAATGGCCTGTTCATGCATCCGCATCAGGCATACTGCAGGTTCATGTCTGAGGCTTAAAGAAGCCTCTGTAAAGCTTGTCTATTGTCTGTCTGCGTGGGTGGAGTCCAGCACTCTGGGATTACAGGGTGACATGCAGCACTTCTGGATTATACAGCAGAAGACAACAGCACAGTGAGACAGCAGGTGAAAAAGAGCAGTGGTCCAATAGGAGCATCTGGACGAGCAGTTGGATCTCTGAGAGACTTCATTTTGGGGCATTTTTTCCTGATGCATGCAGATGCTAGTTTTAAATTCACGTCATGCTGCTCATATGATTTTGAATCCCTTTTTTCTTTCAGTTTTTATTTTGTGGAAATTTGTTTTCTTTATAATTTACCACCTTTTTGTTTTCTAACATCACCAGGAAGTCGGATTACAATAGAAAGCAGAGTACCATCTGGTGTCTGGGATCGCAATCATGTATTTGAACAACAGAAATAATGCCATCAACACACAGAGGAGTAAGAAGAACATCAAGGGGAAAACATGTGAGTATGGACATATTGTAGGATTTGTATATATATGATATATTGAATGCAATGTAATGCAGTCAGTTATAACTTTAATCATGTAAACAAACATTGCTGATGCATCCCTTGATTCTTTTCTCTTTTTCAGGGGCTAACCTGAAGACAACCCCACGTCAGGAGGAGACCTTCACCCAGACATCTCCAAAGGTTGGGGCAAAGTTGGAGCCGAAGAAGAACAAGACAGAGGAGCAGGAGGTGATGCAGCTCACTGCGTTTGAGAAGGCCTTTTATGATCTGACTCATTCAGAGAAGGTGATGAATGATCTGACATTTGGACGACGGGTGGGGCTTTACGAGCTAAGAGGAGAGATTGGCTCTGGAAACTTTTCCCAAGTCAGATTGGGGAAACATGACTTGACCAAAGGTGAGAAACTGGGTGCTTTTCTTTTTTCTTTTTTTTTTTTTTTTACCCCAATTTTCTCAGCTTCAGTGAGCAGGTTGGACACAAGGCTGTAGATTGACGCCATACGTGTTTCAAGGGCTTAATCCTGATCTTTATTTGGGTCACAAGGACAATGTTTAAACTTCTCACATTGTTGCATTTTCTGCTGATGCTTTAAAATGAGAAAGTATGTGATCCAGGTCATAGATGGTTTAAAGGCCTCTTTCTGCTTCTATAACACAGTCTGTGTCCCTGAGTTGTTGCAATTAATCTGTCAAAGTAATGATGAATTAGTAAGAAATGGCCACACCTCTCAAATCTCTTCCAGGTAAAACAGTTGAAGCACCACTGCAAACACTGCCAATAAAAATGTGGGTCATGATAGCTTGCCCAAACTGAATTCAACTGTCATATAACAATTTCAGAAAATCCTTTAATTTTCCACTTATGTTATATTGAGAGAAATTTGTATTGAATCACATTTTCCATCACATATCATGAAAATTAATTTTTATAATTTAAAATGTAGCCTATTAAATATGAAACAACACTTTAATTAAGCAATGTAGCCACAAAGGGATATGGGGATGAACAAGACCAGACTGGAGAGTGAATACAGAATTACAAAATTGCAACTATTGAAAAACAAAAAATAACAACACAGACACGTAATGTTGTTCTGAGGTTTCTTCTATGTGTAATTTACCAGATACTGCCAGTGGCACCACCAAGGGGCCCCTACTGGCCACCCCTCTGTGTGGTGTTTTAAACTCGAGTAGGCTTGTTCCCACTAAATGTTTAGTTCCTCACTATCAAGGTATTCTGCCCAATTAAAATTATTTGCCTTTTTTTAGGAAAAGGATAAGAACAATTAATCTTCTAATACATGTGTACAGATACAAAATACATTATAACAGAATTGTTGTGGAACTCAAATGTTAACTGTGCCAACATTAATCTATGCACATCTGGCAATTCGTAATATTAACTGTAAAGTAAGAAATCAGAATGTGATACCTTAACTCTCATACTGACATAGTTTTCAAATAGCATACAACAGCCTAATGTAATTCTTGAAATTCCTCAGACTGTTCTCATGCACTGTTCATACATATATCTATGAAAAGTAATGCACCACAATTTGTATATAACCCAAATAATCATGATCAAGTGTATTCATGTGTAGCTCACATAATTGGGAAGGCTGCAATCGCATGAACAATGTGCTGATGGGAGTAGAGAAGGAAGTAGCATGAAGGGCGAAAGTCTGCATACGGAGGTAGGTTGTGGTGGTGAATGGGTCAAACAGCACAGGACTTTCCCCCTTGAGGCCAGTGTTCAGAGGCATGTGCAACCAAGTGAACTTTGAGTTATTTTCAGGTACATCGTCACCATGTTTCTTTTCCTGAACCTAAACGTGACTTTATTTGTCTAAACTGAACCCACATAACTAATTTTACGTTAAGTTTGTAACATGACAATGCGCAACCATGTTTCTTTTCCTAAACCTAACCTGTGTAACTTTCCTGTCTAAAATGAACCTACGTAACTTTACGTTAATTACATGACTTTATGTTAAGTTTGTAACATGACAACATCCAACCATGTTTTTTCTCCTAAACCAAACCTACGTAACTTAACGTGAAATTCTTAATGCAGTGACATCCAGCCATGTTTCTTTTCCTAAACCTAATCTCAAAACTGTACGTCAAGTTTTTAATGTAATAACTCCCAACCATGTTTCTTTTCCTAAACCTAGCCTAAATAACTTTACGTTAAGCACGTAACTTTATGTTAAGTTCGTAACATGATCATGCCCAACTGTTTTTCTTTTCCTAAATCTAACCTACGTATATTTATGTTAAGTACGTAATGTGATGATACCATTTGTGTGGTGCTAATTCATTAGATATCATACAAGCCATTGTGTGTGCATTTTCGTAAGATATCGTATAAATTGTTGTATGAGAATATATTGATTTCAGTTACAGCTTTTGGTTTTGATGTGCCATCCCAAGATTTTCAGTGGCCCATCTGGTCACCCCATCAAAAAATTCTGCAGGCCCCCCTGCCTACTGTAGAGGATGTAGAGACAGTAAGTGACTAGTCTGATTGACATATTAGTTGGAAATTCATGGGAGACACTTCAGTCGGCTCAGCTTAACATGTTACACAATGCCGGTCTAGCTTTGGTAATTCCAGATGTAGACGGCATATCACCATTTGCTAATCCATAATGTCTTCAGCCTTCACAGGCAGCAACTTGTGTGCTGATAAACATTCCTTAGGAATTCATTAAAGGTATTGATCGAGACATAAAGGAAAAGCTATACTTGATAACATAAGGAAGACTGAGTAATAAAAAAGGTACAGATAAAAAGTAAAGTGTGTACTCCTTGTGGCCTCACTGCCCATATTTGTCATCATCTGATAGAAAGAGTTGCAGTAAAAATCCTGGATAAGGTGCGTCTGGACAAGCAATCTCAGGCACTATTCGTGTCAGAAATCTCTTGCATGGAGAAGCTGGCTCATCCCAACATAGTGCGACTGTATGAGGTGCTGGAGACATTCAAGAGGCTCTACCTGGTGATGGAGTATGCCAGCGGAGGAGAGCTGTTCTCCCGTATCAGCACCAGGGGGCGCCTGTCAGATCTGGAGAGCAAACTAGTGTTTTCACAGGTCCTGTCTGCAGTCAAATACATGGTAAGTCAACAGCAAGTCTTTAGGTGAACATTGAGCTGTATATGTTGCTGTAAAATGAAGGAAGAGATTTCCAGTGCAGAATATTAAAACTAAAGAATGTTTTAAAGGTCCTATATTGTAAAAAGTCAGATATCCTGTGTCTTTTTTATTATAAAGCAGGTATAGGCTCTATTTAAATACTGTGAAAGTATCAAAACACTCAATCCATAGAGAAATGTAGTTTACTGTATAAATTAGAGACTGCTGATACAGTGCCCCTGCAGTCATTCTCCAGCTGCATTGATGGTGCAGAGATGTTGAGATTGTAGATTTTAAAGACCTGAAAACACTGACCAGTCAGAACAGCCTGGGCTTTTTCTTTTTTTTTTTTAAAGAAACAGGGGCTTAAATGGAGCGTTTCAGACAAGAGGGCGAATACAGGTTTTCCAGTACAGACAGCAAGTGCTTTTTGAACATTAAAGCATGTAAACATGTTCTAGTAGAAATCCCAAATACAAGCATGAACCTGAAAATGAGCATATTATGGGCCCTTTAGAGGATAGGGCATCATCTTAAGATACCTTTCTTGAAGATAACTAATATTTTGGAGTTGCTGAGTTATGAATCCAAGCAATGACAATACTTAAGAATGACTCTGCATTTAAAGGTTCTCATATCTTCTGTGCAGGAGAGCTAATTAACTTTCTAATGCCTCAAATGTTTTTTTCTTTTCACAGCATGATAGTAATATTGTCCATAGGGACCTGAAGGCTGAGAACATCTTCTACACCAGCACCTACTGTATTAAAGTGGGTGACTTTGGTTTTAGTACATCCTGCAGCCCCAATGGAGTCCTTAACACATTCTGTGGCTCTCCACCTTATGCAGCCCCTGAGCTGTTCAAAGAGAAAGGTTACGTCGGTCAGTATGCAGATATTTGGGCGCTGGGTATCTTGCTTTACTTCATGGTGACTGCCACTATGCCATTCAAAGCCACTAACACAGGCAGGCTCAGGTGTTGTATCCAGCAGGGCTCCTACGCCATTCCTTCGTATGTACCCAGATCATGTATGGAGATTATTAAGGGCCTCCTGAGGCTGGTACCTCTGGACCGCCTCACCATAAAACAGATCATGGACAGCAACTGGATGAGAGGTACTGAATACCCCGAGGCCTACCTAGCTTGTAGCCCTACACCCTACTACCTGGCTGAGTCTTCCAACAACCTCAGCTCAGATGAAATGAGTGTGAAGGGAGCGTTGGAGGATCTTGGCATCACCAAGAACCATCTTGTCAACAACAGCGTAGACTTGAAAAGCCCCGTTACTGGGACTTACCGGATTTTGCTGCACCGCATCCAAAAGAGGAGGTCTGTGGAATCTGTGGGCTACAGCCAGAGTTGCAACAAAGAGTCCCAGAACAGACTCACATGGAGAGTAGGCTCAGACGGCATGTTAGACAAACGGCACTCTGAGGTTTGTCTCATCATGTAGATTCATCAAGGAATACGTCACCTGTATATCAGTTACTCAGCCTATGTTACTTTGAATTCACAAGAAAAACTTTATTTTTCTTGCATGCCTCTGCAAGCTGAATGAAGAATCCAAAAAATGAGAAAATTGAAGTCATAGGGGGCCACGTTTAACAACAGCAAAACTATTTCAAAACTTCTGTGTACAAACTAAATAAATGCAGTATAATCCAAGACTCATTTATCCAGTCACTTGCTCAGTAATTCCCAATTACATGCATTTCACTAAAACCTAAAGTTTTTTTCAGGTATTCAGGGTAACATGGGGTGAGTACTGTAATTGATTTACAAATAATCATTTTGGGGGTGAGGTATTTCCTCTAAAAGAATAGTTCAACATTATGGAAAATGTGTTTATTTGCCTTTGGTTCTGGTAGGTGTATTTTTGAGCTTTGGAGAGAGCCAGGCTAGCTGTTTCCCCCCTTCTTTGAGTCTTTATGCTAAGCTAATTACCTCCTGACCACAGATTCGTACTGACCACACAGTCACACTCAGAGATTAAGACTGTTGCATTGTCTAACTCTTGAAAAACAGGGAAATCAAGCATATCTCCCAAAATGTCAAACTATTCCTTTAATAGTGTTTCTCTGTTTTTTGTGACACTAAATAGGCAGAATGTGACATTGAAAAGCTTGATGTTGATGATTTATTTCCATATCATGCCATTGCACATCACTGTGAATTAAACTGTAGACCCCATGACACACTCTGGAACAATATCTGGCACTCTTGTGTCCACTTACATAACATTTTCAGTTTTTATAGCGTGAGCTTTATTTAAACCAACTGAGCGTGAAAGAAAATTCACATGAGGGTTGACAGTGACCCAGAGATTTCTCTGTCATTTAGGCAACAGGAATGTGGAAACTTTCTTTTTTTTTTTTTTTTTTAAAGAGTAATATGTCAATCAGAAAAAGGTAGGCGAAAGCACTGGCGGTGAATAGGGACCGATTTTTGGACACATTTTAGAGTTTGGTTCTGCAAGATCCGTATATCTACAATATATTTTTAAAAAAAAACAAATTCCAGGTTTTTCAGTCATCTCTTCTTAAAATTTAGATATGTTTTTTGATTGTTTGTAAGTCTAACTGATAAATTTCCAGATGTGAAAAAAATCTTATTAGTTTAACTGTTTAATATCTGCTCAACATCAATGGATTTCACTGAGTTTTAATTTTTCTTTCATTTCTGTTTATTAAAAAAGATACATGGTTAATATTGTAGACATAATAATGTTGAACTTCCCAAAAATGTCTTTACAGATCTTTTATGCAAAGGAGGATGTATAGGTAATATCTGATAGCACTGAAATCAGGTCCTTTTAAGTTATGCAAAATTGTGACTTCTTGTATGTCATTGTATTTCATGTGTACAGTATGTTTCATTTGATTAAAAATAATCAAAAATGTGTCTCGACACAAATATCTTGATTCTGATCTCAAGTGATTCCTTGAAAGCTGCATTACGGTGAACTGATTTCAACCTTGACTTTTACTGAACTTTTAGAATGACGAACAACTCATTACATTTATTGGTGTTACAACATATTTCTGTTCATGATAGTATGATACGGTAAAGGCAAACGATTCTTTATAATCCTGCAAATAAAGCTGACTGCTCAAGGTGAGAAAAAGTAGCTGTCATGACAGTTTTTGGGCTTTGGTTTAACAGTAGGAAATATTATGGCAATAAATATAATGTCATTTTCAAATAACTTTTTGGCGTGCAGTGCTTTATGACTGCTTTCATCTTTCTTTCTTTTTAGTTTCCCTTTCCAAACTCGCATAGAGATCATGATTTATATTTCCAACACCAAACTTGCACGAACTTCTGTTAACATGAATTTCAAAGTTCATGTGAACAGAAGTTATGAAGGTGGCAGAGATACAACACTCGGAAGCAACAAGTCTGTGCTATGACTTCACATATTTTCTGTTTTTCTCTCTGCACACTGCCTTGTATTAATGCTGCTATTTCCTGTAATACATCACATTTGTTTCAGTGTAAAGTGATTTCCTCACACACTGTTTCCCTCCTTTCATATTTTCCTTTCATGGCTTTTCCCCTTGATAAGGCTAAAATTTCTGATCACGATATCAGCCAGCCATTTATTTCTGCCCCAGCATGCAGAAAGCAAAGCACGCAGCACATTTGTTGTTCTGATATAAACAAGAAGAAACGAAAGCCTCTGCACCACAATCCTTTTCATGCTGCAACCCAATTCTTTGACCTCTGAAGTTGGTGCATCTGTTAGTCATACTGCAGGTTTGAATGTCCATCAATATTAAACAGTCCATTAATGTCTTGGTAATTGCTACATATTTGTCAGGTTATCATTCACTGGTGCCTTTGGGCAAAGTTGGCAGCCTTTTCAAACAAACACCTCACCTGCATGCATGGAGGATTCACAGTTTTTTTTAATGTTGATTGCCCTACTTTAATTTCTATTCTTAACAATAATCCCATCACTCTCTCCACCTCTAAGACACGTGCACATTAGCTGACAAGATGTGTCACACCTCTCCTTTAATCAACAAACATCAGATAATTAACACACTGTAGTGCACAGGCCTGCACTGTCTGATAATGTTGCTATGTAGGCACACACAGTATGTAAGATGAAGCCTCTGCAAAGCCAAATGTGTGGAAGTCATAAATCTTCGCAGACAGTGCAGTCAAACACACTGCGTTACTCACCATGAGATCTTATCAGCTGCATGTCCCAGCAGTTCTTGAGAATGCCCATGGAGATGAGAGAGTAATACATAAAGATCGATGAGTAAATCCAGCACCTTGTCAGATCAGATACTGCTGCTTGTAAATCAGCACAGAGCATTCACAGATACTCTCATTTAAGGTTGATGCGTGCCTACTGTCTTTCTGTAAATATTTTGCAGTGCAGTTGTAATCAGATTATTTCAATCTTGGGACTGTCAAAGTTGTTAGATCTTATTAGCTATGCATCCTCTGCAAAGCAAATCAGCTGCAGTTGAAATCCTAAAGGCTGTGAAATTAAAGACAAGATAGGAAAGTACAAACAGGTGAAAAATGTATGATGTGCATCAAGTGTGTGAAATTATTGTACCGTCTATTTGACATTTGAAAAGCAGCCTACATCCACATTATTTGTTTCACTGAGCCATTTATACACAGCAAGTGGCAACACTATAGTAAATGTTAAAAGTGTTACTTCAACATTCATTTCACTATAAATGGCTGCATGAGTTCAGAATTGTGTTGAACTCTTTTACTGAGCAATCTGCAGTAGCAACTGTAGCACTTGTGTAAGGTGCGATTAGTTACGTACCTGCTTTTTACGTTGAACTTTGTCGTATTTAAAGTGTGTTAAACTCTTGTAAAGTTAAACACTGCAAGCTTAAATTAAGTTTGACGATGATAGCATCAGGTGATGAAGGACAATTATATTTTATAGCAGTCTCACAAGGAAAGTGTAGACATTTTAGAGCTCAGCTGAAAGGTAATTATTTAGACTGTCACTGCTGTATGCCTTGTGTTAATACAACAGATTTTCAGGTGGATTATGTTCCTTATAAAATTCAAGCTTGTGCAAGCAAGAATGGGGTGTCCCCTTTCCTTTTTATTTACATAATGTGTCCTGTTATAATAAAATACAATGTAAAAATGTGTTTAAATTCACATAACACACAAAAAAGTATCAGTGGCGCAGGAGAAAAACACGACATAAAACATTTATTTGAACATTATCATAAAGTTTGAGACACTAAGCGGGAGGTGATAAGCAGGTTTATTGTAATAATGCTTTTATTGGAACACATACGCTGTAATAAAACCTATACACAAAATTTATGAAAAGACAGACACTTATTCAGAAGAAATTAAGATAAGAGCTCCTTTTCTATGACACACATTTCAGACTCACATTCAACAATTTACGTTTGCATATAAACAAGTATTTGCAGATGAGAAATACTTACATATTATTAACATTTACACTCCATCACCATTAATTAAACAGCTTATTGAATACCTCATGTTTTGAAATGTGAGAAAACAGTCAGAAATATTCTCATTGAAGCAGCCATGCTATTGAAGGCGTTTATACATGGTGGCCAGTCAGCATCAGCAGTTCAACCCTGCAACAGCAAAGTGCTGCTGTGTTCTACCCAAGCTTTGACCTTTATCTTAGTGCAGAGTGAAAGCAAAAGTAATGCTACAAGATTTCCTTGGCCGGCTTTGTCAGTTGCCTTCCAGTAAGACACCATAAAACCCCTGTAAAAAAAGCGTGTTGCTTAATGATACGATCTGGCAGATGGAGGACAGATGAACGGGGGCCATTGTAGCAGGCAGTCGCCCTCAGCCTCTGCTTGGCCGTCGGTGCTGTGGAGAGCAAAGAAATCCATTTGAACGTTTCGCATATTTGAAACTGTCCTTTCAAAACTCATGTATCGTTTTCGTCACAACATGCTTTATTGTTTCTGATGTCAAGATACAAACACAAATTTATGGAAAACATATTTATTTATCCTTTGGGAACTGGTTCAAACCAGATTCAAATATAGACAGACTCCATTAATCACCTACCCTCCTGGGTTTCTTTTGGTCATTTTTGAAGACCTTTTCATCAATCTTCTTTATCAGGTCTGTGACCCATCTCTCTCTGGGGTCTGTGCAAAAATCACGCCCCCTCCTCATTGTGAAGCTAGAGGATAAATGACGCAAACCGATGTTAACTTTTGCTAAAATAAGAAGTTTAGGAAGATAATACCACAGTTTAACAGTGGATGTTTTCTATGCACGCGTACTTACATTACAGCAGGGATGTTGCAGCCTCCATCTGTCACCTGGTGTCTGTACGCCACTGCGTGCTTTTGAGTGCCCGGGTTCATTTTTTTCACATATTTCAAACAGCAGTCATCATAGGTTACTGAGGGATTAGAGATCCAGTACGGTAAAGTTAGGAATCACCACAGTATTTACAGC